TGAACTTTAAAATGTCGAGTTTTGGTCACGAACTCAAATCCATGTATTTGATTGGCCACTAAAATTTAAAATGTCCAGTTTTGGCCACTGAACTTTGAAAAATATGGTCACTGAATTTAGGTCCATATTTTCAATTGTTCACTGAAATTTAAAATGTCCAGTTTTAATAACTGAATTTTGAAAAATGTTGTACATTACTCACTAAATTTTGAAAAATATTGTACATTAATCACTGAACTTTGAAAAATGTTGTATATTATTCACTATAAACTCGATATTTTTCAAAATTCAACAGTTATGTTAGTGAGTAACGTACGGCATATTCCAAAGTTCAGTGGCTAAAACTTAATATTTTAAATTTCAGTGAGCAATCTAAGATATGGACCTAAATTTAGAGACCAAAACTCGACATTTTTCAAAGTTCAGTGGCTAAACCCTGACATTTTAAAGTTCAGTGGCCAATCAAAAATATAGACCTAAGTTCAGTGACCATTGGAACAATTAACTCTATTTTTAATGATTGTATTATCGCAATATGTATTAGTTATCGTAAACTTATAACAATGAGATTTACATCTCAAACAAATTAAACAAAGGTAATTGACTCTAAACATTCATATCATCGCCTTTTTTGTGAATAATCATTTTTATCGTTTCTATTAAAGTTTGACCCAAATTCGATTCATTATTTGTGGATTTGTTAAATTGAATTTTGAAAATGTCAAAATATGGACTAATTAGGAAAAGATGTCTCATTACTGGTAGCTTACCGTTCGAGCAATAGGATAAAATTTTCAGTAGAGAGTTGTCGTCCGCCTAGTGCTCTAGCAACGCACCTACCGCGAGCGCTTGTCCTGCCTAAGATTGGTTTTCTTATTCCTGGCATTTTTTGATGTTATTTTCATCTTTAAGACTCTTGTTAAAGTTTGAAATGTACTCCTATATATATAATTGGTCTTTATCGTAGTTAGAACAAGTTAGACTTCATTAAAATTGTGTCAAACACACTATCTTGTTCTTTATCGACTTTTGATCAACATAATTCAAATTACAAAACAATACAAACTTAATACTCTCACTCAAAAAATCCCCAATCCCAATGGCAATTGTGATTTTGCTTTTTATATTTTTTTTTTCCTTTATGGTTGGATGCTATGGATACAAAGCTAATAGTTTCCATCAAAGGGAGGGCAGCGAAAGAATCAACACGTGTACAAAATAAAAGTTCAAT